TTCTATATTTGTTAGTTTGTTCATAAATGCTTCTTGTATGTTGTTAACACGCGAGAGCGACTTCAGTGTGGCTCATCCGAGCGTATAACGTTTAGAGTATTGTAATTTTCTCTGTCACTGATCAAAACAAAGCACATTGAAAATCTGTAAAATAAAATTCATCCATTAAACCGTTTAGGCTGACTGCTTCCGTAGTCTAGTGGATAGACCCTCTGCCAGGAGAGTGGAATAAGGGAACAAGAAAATAGAACTGATCTGTATACTGTACAAGTGTCTGACCGGGGTATTCATTAGGGGTGTCACGATAAACCGAAATATCGATATGTTGCTATTGGTAAGCACTTAAGTCAATTTATCGATTGTTAAATTAGTTTCAGTTAGGAATATCGATAGGTGGGAATGTATTTACGATATCAATAAAACACATGCAATGCTGTTCAAATTTGTTTTTCTTTTGATCATGAGTGGTAGTAATTTACACATGGTAAGTTTCTTTTTCTTAAATTATTTGGGTAAAGAAAAAACAAATCAATCATATCTCAAACCTTACTTTTAATTTGTTGTTATGGTTATCACATTCAAAGGAAACTTCAGTTCCAAGGTTTAATTCAACTCTAAAATCCATCTAAAATGATACACTGAAATCTATCGAATCGGATATTTATCGCAATAGTTGCTTGCAATATCAATAGTTATCGCAATAGTGATTTCCAGACCAATAATCACCCCTTGTAGTCATGTTAAACTGCTGTATGGTATCTGACTGGGTTAGCACTGTAAAACCGACATTTGTCCGGACTATTACAGTACAAGCAGCCACACACACGCTCGCTCACACACATACATGTACGTCGCTATATAAGTGCAATACATTAAACGCGACGTTAAACTCTATTTTACCTCACTCCACCATTTAGACACCTCGTACTACAAGCATAGGTTTTTGGGTCGTCTGAGCCGAGATCACCACACGGGACACAGGTTCAGAGGTTGATACCCCGTCCGTGAACTCCGGACGAGTGTCTGAGCCTGTGTACAGACGTGGTGTCAATGGACTGGCATATCTGTGGCTCTGCATTAACGACACATACAGATGTTTACACGATGCGGCCAAAGGTCCAGTCATATTGAGGATCAGGACACTGATACATGCCCTTTTCCTTACGAAGTGACATATACACGTAGGAGGAGTGAGTAAGTGAGTTTAGTTAACGCCGCTTTCAACAGCACTCCATGGCCAGTTATATCACGACGTGTCAGCCTACCGTGGGAGGAAAGCCCGACGTGATACAGGTGTCATACGTATACAATTTTGTTGAAACCCACGAGCACGGGTATGGTACTGACAAACCTAGAAATATGATTAGTGTGAACCGAGATTCAAACCAATCATAGGTGTCTGGCGTGCCCAAGAGACGCAACTCTCCACGGCGGTTGCGGCTTCTAAGGCGACTTGGACACCACCTTTTCGCAAACACCTGGTGTCATCGCTGATTTTCGGTTATCTGTTCATATCATTTTCGCCACTGTTTGGTAAAGGCTGTCAAATTACATGGTCGAATTACTTTTCACGTCCCTCCTACACGCCATGATTGAACTGAAAAATGTTCATTCAGAAAAAAAGTTCATTGTTATTTCTGAGCCGTTACATGGAAACATTATGAAATATATGAATTTTTTCAAATCAAAATAGACATAAGGAAGTTTCGTTTCGGGCAAGTTCCTCACGGTTAAACCATGTGAACCAGGATTAAGCGTCATCAAGCTATCATCGTCAAACTGGCTTTATCAGGCATTTCAGAAACTTGTTCTGTGACAACTGTTTTCTCTTTGTTGGTGGACACGCTGATGATACACATGAAGGACGCGGTAGGATATGGGTCTTTTGGCCGACTAAAAAAGTTAAATTTGAAAGTTGCGGAAAACTTTGAAATATTGGTATGAAAACTAATTACTGGCCTGTGCTCACTCTTGGGGCTATGACATGATAAAATACTTAAGCATAGTTAAAATGAGTGACAAGAATGAGGGTAAGTTTACCTACAATGAATTTATACTACCGTAATAATTATCATTAACCACAATTGGAAAACAAACCGTGGATATATTTTTTAATCAGAATGTGATACAAACGAAACATTTGTTTTCGGCATATTGCAAGGTGAGCTCGATACGACAATATCTTATGGTTTAGATTGTTGTCCCCGGTTGGTCCTTCGGGAAATCTTGATACCGACATATGTTCAACATGAAGGCAACTTCTATTTCAAAAATGAAGATTCATTTACAAACATCAGTAAAAATGTTCAGTAAAGTTGGAGGACATTTGTCTGTCGAACCAATTGCTATGAAGTATTTCTTCATGTGGCACAAAAAAATAATGCAAAACTTATCCTGAATTCAAATCTAACTTTACAGCTAAGACATGCTGCACAAAACCTTTTGAAGAGCCATCATGTCAAACTAAAAACGTCATATATGGCGCTAAAAAGTCAATTCCCAATATGAATAGTTTGTAGTTGTTCCCACTGACAAGGCCTCAAATAACATAACCATTATATGTAAGCATCACAACATTAATTGTTTCATCAAAGATAAATGATATATCAAATAATGCCACATGTAAGGCCAATAAGTCAACCGAGGAAGAAATCTGCCCAAACCATGCATCAGTACTATCAACATTTGACTGGACTCTGAAACCTGACATGTCCATTCCTCTTGTGTTCTGGATTCCAAAGCTCCATAAAAGTCCGTACAAAGAGAGATATATTGCTGAGTCCAGCAAATGAATCTCCAATTTCTTGTTTCAAAGTCTAACCATAATCCTTAATACAATCAAGGAGGGACTTTCTATAAATTCACATAAAGTATTTGGGACAAGTGGAATTAATACCATATGGATACTTAAAAGCTCAAAGGATTTGCTTAACTTTTTGCAATCTCAGAAAAGAACCAAGTTACATTCCGTCAAAACATTTCATTTTTCAACTTTACATCCCACATGACAAACTTGAGGGAAATCTTCATTCCTTGATCCATAGAGCTTTTGTTACAAAACGTGGTGAACACAGATACATTTACGAATCTATATTCAGAGGTTCATGACAATTTGTCAAAAATGAAAGCAAATGCAATCTGAAGTTTACTGGCAGAAATATGTGGACTTCCTAAGTGATAAAATCTACATAAGTGGGCATCATCACCATGGACACCTCTGTGCACCCGTTCTTGCGGATCTGGTTTTTTTATGTATATAAATCGGAATCACTGCTCGGATTGGCAAAGTCAAAACAAGGTAATTTGGCCAAGAAGTTTAACTTAAGCCTCAGGTATATAGATGATATGATATCCTTCAACAAATATCCAATTCCCTTCCACTGATTTACCCACCCGAACTAGAAATAAAGGAGACCAGAGAGACACCCTTTTCTGTTTCATATTTAGATCTATGCATAAAGATTCAGAGTGACAAAAATCTCTCCACGAGACTGCATGACAAGAGGGTTGACTTTTACTTTCCAATAGTCAACTTTCCTACATGTCGAGCAATATTCCAGCAGCTCCAGCCTTTGGCGTTCACATTTCACAACGTTTGAGATTCAATGGAGCATGCTCTTTCCACCAGGACTTCAAAGGGCGTCATACGACTCTTGTTCAGAAGTTATTTTATCAAGGTTACTAAATTCAAGGCATCGGAAAAGCTTTCAAAAAGTTTTATGGTAGGCATATGGAGGACACTTCCAACTTTGACGCATCAGTGACAAAAATGATGTCGGATGCAATTCCCTATTTTGACTTTGCCACACTTGCCTTTGCATGTATTTGTGACGTGTGCCACCGGTGGGGCAGGGTACACGCACTATATCACGACCGCTTATATATTATCATCACTATTTGATTGTGATTCATAATATAGTCGGAATTGTACAACCGACTCTGCTTTATGAAGAGATTTCTATTGGATATTGAAAGGGTTTTGTCGCTGTAATTTGTGTTGAGGCTCTGTGCATCACGTACATCGAAAGTCAATGTTAGTAAACATTAGGCGATGCCACATCGATGCAAGGAGCTTGAATTTCCTGTTTCCATTACGACGGGGTATAATTTAACTAGTTGTACACTGCTGTAGCAGGGAACAAATTCATACAATTCACGCATTTTACATGTACGATAAACCAATACAATTCACGCTTTTTACATGTAGTTAAAAACCCGTCTACGTATAGTACATGTAAGATACTCAAATAATATGTAATACTTGCTTTGGCTTCATAGCATCCACATCTTAACTTCCGTTAAGAACCGGGTTAGAATTGGTTACATGTATGTCGTGAAAGGCGACTAAGTGGATCGGGTGGTCAGACTTGGTTAATGTATGACATTGTATCCGAATTGCGTAGATCTATGTTCATGATGTCAATCATTGGATTGCCAGGATCACGCTCGGTGACTTTCCTGATAACGTGACATCATACCCCGACGTCACGGTATGTTGCTGACAATATCAATCACTTGATTGTCTGGTGCAGACTCAATTATTTACAGCCCACCGTATATCCACATATACCTTGAGTAATGCGTACTGTTGTATAAAACATTATATTGACTTAATCACGGTGCCTTACTTACATGACTACATTAAAGCTTGTTTTGTTGTAAAGAATTTATTTCTGATATTACAAAGTGCATTCATGTATCACAAACATGGCATATGTACACCCAGAAGAAGAATAACGACACACCCGGTGAAGAGGAATCTGAAAGGAGCATTGTTAAAACATGTGGCCTGAATAATTCGTCTTATGTACACACCATGAACGACATACGACCCGTGAAGATCCGGGGTAGAATAGGTCTTCAGAAAACCATGCTTGCCGTAAAACGCGACTATGCTTGTTGTAACAGGCGACAAATGGAATCAGATGGTCAGACTTGCTGACTTGGTTGATGCATGCCATCGTATCCCAGTTGCGTGGATCGATGCTCATGATGTCAATCACTGGATTGTCTGGTCAAGACTCGATTATTCACAGACCGCCGTCATGTATCTGGAATATTGCTGAGTGCGGCGTTAAAAAACAAACAAACAAACAAATGTAATTCGAAGTATTACAAAGCCGATGTTCTCCAAAGGTGTGTCCACTGTACAACTAACATCACGAGTGGGTTTACTTCAATGCCCTATAAACAAAAACAAATAAATAGACAAATAACATATGTTCAAGAATATTGCAGACACGGCTTGGTTTAACCACAATGCGTACACGTGTATTACGCACCAATGCATGAGTGCCATCCTGTGCTCCCACGTCTGAACTGCACTCATTGCATTCTGAAGTTATGCAGTCACATGCAAGGTTATATTTTGATAGAATTACTGATGAAAGTGGAAACATGATATATACGTAACCTTATTTTATCATTAATTAGTATAAACACATGAGCCATGGGTCATTATATTAAAACCGAATTGTCATGAGTGTCAACTTCTTTAAATTATTTTTTCTATGTTGATGGTGATGTCTTTGTCCGTTTATAATCCAAATCGTAATGTTATTGTTGTGGTTATTCTTTTCAATTTTCAAATTATTATTTTTGGCACTGCAAAATAATTATCTCTAAATTCTTTTCATTCGATGCTTCTCGATGAGGAGAAATTGGGTTTAACGTCGCGTTTATATATCGACGTGCATGATGTGTGTGTGTGTGTGTGTGTGTGTGTGTGTGTGTAGATTTTATAGTGCTAGCCCACTGAAGTACCATGCCACATGCATAAATACTCCACTCAGACACTCAGACACAGTATACTGACTCCGAGTCGACCGACCACCCGTGAAGAATACGGCCGCGAGGAATACGGAATCAAACAAATACCTGTTACCTGCGAGACGAAAACATCGAGTGCTCAGGCCAATGTTTAGATTACATGTGTCATGGCCTTGTCGCCTCTACTCTACACATTGTTTCAAAGTCTTAAACTTCATACACGGAGTAGGGCTTTCTTTACTTTGGGGAGATTTACACTTCACTCCTTAGATACGTCTGTCACTACTACACTGAATGAAAGCCGGTGATGAGGACCCTAGAGTCCATGTGTAATGTGTAATTGACAAAGGGATGAAGACAAAATGCGGGCTGGTGCTGGGTGGAAATGAACGTTGATGACAATAAATACGATCCATTTTTTAAATTACATTTCAAAAGCTTAGTATCAAATGTTCAGTTCATTCCCAACAGTGTTTTACACATAGGGCAGATAGACTGGTCCGATATACGAACTGCGATATGGGATTTTGTTTCATTGTTGATGTTATCACAGTATGAAGATTGACGCCACCTTAAACAACAAGCTCTTAAGGCTGCGCATGTTTGCCATATACTATTTTCCCACATGTGGTAGGATGTGCTGGTTCTATTTTATGTGCTCCTGCAGTGGAGATCCCTGAAACCAGCAATCATCAAACACCCGGATTATATTTTTTTACAGTCTTCCGGGCATTATAGTTTGAAGTATTTAGTACTATGTTGATCCGCAAAACACTGTGAGTCTATATAGTCCGTGCCGCTTGGTTGTTCTTTGAAATACGTGCTTGTTGTCTCTGCGGTGTGATAACAAACCTACGACGTGAAAGGAAACATAGCACTAAACTGTTCTACATCACCGAACACGTACTAACGTCAAACGGTGCATTACAGTACTGAAAACAGTACACGAAATAGATACAACATGGAAGTCCCAATCCAGAACCATAAACCGGTTCCAGTACATCTGGAAGCGACATCTATATGACAAGCCTCAACATGAGCAACAACTGTTTTCAGGAGCGAGGGACTCCTTCGAATCCTTTCTCAGTGACAGTGGTTTAATCTCCAATGCCAGAGAGTTTTTCCTGGACGCGACTTCCATGATATTGTCTATCAGCTTCTCGAACAGTCGAATGACGTTGTAGTTCTTTGCCACGTCGATTTCTGTGTAGGGAAGTTCCAAGTGCTCGGCGTGCTTATCTCCCCTTTGTCGCGTCACTTCCCGTTCCGGTGACATGCATTTATTGCCCACCATTATTGATGAGACGTGTTGAACAGGGCCGTATGTCTCTAAGTCGGCAGACCTGGAACAGGGGGAAATAAAGTCTTCATTAGTATAAAATAGATACAGCTACATCGTTATATTCAAAGGTTCAGGACAAGTTGGCAATTAAAACAAGTGCCATCTGCAGTTTGCGAGAAAACAGTATGTGAAATCCTAGTCTTCCTCACAGATCTACGTGACATTTGGCGTTAGGACATTTAGGCAAGAAGTAGGTTTCCCCATGAGCAACAATTATACCCCCTCCTACCTGATCTGTTTCTTTATGTATATGGATCGGACCATTTTGGAAATTTGACCAAGAAGCATAACTTAAGCTACATGTTTATAGACGACTTGATATCCTTCAATAATAGTGAAACAGTCAATTCCCTTCCACCAATTTACCCACTTGAATTAGATACAAAAGAGAAAAGTGGAACCGCCTCATCTGTTTCATATTTAGATCTATGCATGGACATACAGAGTGACAAAATCTATCCTCAAGACTGGAAGGATAAATTCAACTTTAAGATTTGAAAGACCGTCATATGACTCTTGTTCTATAGTTTTTTGATGAGGGCTACACGATTCAAGGCCTCAGTAAAACGTTCAAAAAGTGTTAAGGTAGACATATGGAGGACATTTCCAAATTGGAAGCATCAGTGACCAAACTTATGTCGGATGCAATTCCCTGTCTTGGCCGAATGATTCCGTGTTTTGTTAGGTGAACAATTGACCCGCCTTTGCATTTGTTTGTGACGGGTGCCACCGGATGGACAGGATACGCGGACCTTTTCACGAACACCTGGCAACATCACTATTTGATAGTTATTCATAATCAGATGCTCATAATATAGTCGGAATCTTAATGAATTCGTGTGATTATGGAAAGGGTTTTGCACATTTCCGTTTTAATCAATGTGTCATCGGTCCATTAAGTTCAAAACTGCATTGTAAGAGCCAACTAATGATGATCGGGGGGTCACAATGGGCGACGTGGGTGGTGAGGATGCATCTTACCGCGCCCGCGGTGATCGTTCGTTTTAACAACTGGTTTACCTGGTCGAGCTTCGAGCATTTACAGCACGTAGTGATATATATTTGTACAATGTAGCCATTCATATAGTTTTAGTTTCAATAGATATGTGTCTTCTACAGAGGAAAGGTGTGACGGGTGCCAGGTGGGGAAAGGATGCGCTCACCTTTTCGCGATCATCTGGTATCATTACTATTTAATGGTGATTCATACACATATGCTCATGATATAGTCGAAATCGTACAATCGTCTCTGCTTTATAGAAATTTCTATTGGATATGAAAAGGGTTTTGTTGCTTTATTTACGACATTATTTAATATATGCAAGATTGTTCGGTTTGAGGATGGTGACAATAATTAACAAAATGATTATGTAATTAACTCTTTCTACAAAATTATGATATATTGCGTTATAAACATGTAAGTACAGATATGTACTGTATTATACTGTACTGTATTATTTCGTACTGTATTATACGATAGTGGCCCCTAACATAACAGTTGCCGGGGGAAAAGAAAGTATACACCCATGTGTGACGGTGACTAAAAATGAAACAAACAAGAAATGGTTATTTGATACGGGTGTCATAGTTGTGTTTCGGGCCTAAGGTTTACAGTGTTTCGGAGACTCTTTTCAACCAAGTAACGTGTTGGTCACACCCAATTTTCAAGTAAATACTTTCTTTTGCCCGGCTGTTTACATGAATCCACATTGGTGTTTTATGTTGAACTATGCTGAGGGGCAAATATAAAGGATCACATCAAAGGAGAAAGTTTCGATTTGTTGTCACGACACTTGTTTGCTTGTTGTTAAGGCCGCACAGATATATAACAACGACATGTGAACAGTCGAGTCTGGACAAGATATACCAGTGACTGGTATCGATATGACGACACGTAGTCAACCAACTCACCAAGCCAAACAACCGATCCATTTTGTTCCCGAAATTTACACGGTTTAGTGTTGAATATAAACATTGTTCAACACAATATATTTATAAACAAATATTACTAAAACAATTTATTCTAAGTATTAATCTTCAAAATAAGTCATTAAAAATCCGAAATATTTTCAATATTAATTATTCACAAAATAATTCGACAAATTTCACTAAGACGTGCTCATAATATAGCCGGAATCGAGATTTCATATGCATATGGAAAGGTTTTTGTGGCTTTTATTTATATAAATTATACATGAAACAATGTAGATGCAATATGAATGATTCATTTGACAACTGTTGCTTGCTGAACTATCCTGAACTTACTGGGCACATGGACATACGGAATTATCTCACGTGCTCGGTGTCAACGCGACCTTTGACTGATGACGGCTGTGTTTGAGACATGGCACTGATCGGAGGTTATTGATACGTATCCATGTCAGTGGGTGGTCCCATATTTGGCGGGACTCTACACTCTGACGGTATCTATGACAGGGTTATTGAATTTCACAGTAACATCAACAATGCAGTCAACTCGACTTGTTAGAATTCATATGAACGACCCTATGAATTCCAACAGGATTGCCGAATTTACCAAATGTATATGACAATTGTATATGTGTGTGTATGTGTGTGTGTGTGTGTGTGTGTGTGTGTGTGTGTGTGTGTCTCTCTCTCTCTCTCTCTCTCTCTCTCTCTCTCTCTCTCTTTATATATATATATATATTATATATATATATATAATTATATTGTAAGGATTTTAAATATATTGGAGAACAACATCGGCTTTGTGGTGCAGTAAACTACGACCATTTGTTGTTTAAATTATGTTTATATTCTTATAACGGACTACGGTTATTACGAACTAAAATTAGTTGTCCCTTCGAGTTCGTTATAACCGTAGTTTACTGCTGTTCATCGAATCACAATTGTTTGTTTGTTGCTTAACGCCGCACTCATCAATATTGCAGATATATGACAAATATATGATATATTGAGTCTGGACCAGACAATCCAGTGATTGGTAACATGAGCATCGGTCCACGCAATTGGGATCGAAGACATACTTCAGCGAGCCTGACCACCCGATCCCGTTAGTCGCCTCTTACGACAAGCATATGCATAGTCGCCTTTTACCGCAATCATTGGTTGCTGAAGACCTATTCTAACCCGGATCTTCACGGGTATAGTAGCAGTAGTAGTAGTGGTAGTAGTAGTAGTAGTAGTAGTAGTAGTAGTAGTAGTAGTTAAAGAACATCGTATTTATCACTCCCAGAAACGACCTACAGAATTGGGTGGTCAAACTAAGTGACTGTGATGGCGTTGCTCATTATTTCAGTCGAGTCTGGACCAGACAATCCAGTGATTAATATCATGAGCATCGATCCACGCAATTGGGATCGATGACATGCATCAACCAAGTCAGCGAGCCTGACCACCCGATCCCGTTAGTCGCCTTTTACGACAAGCATAGTCGCCTTTTACGGCAAGCATGGGTTGCTGAAGACCTATTCTACCCCGGATTTTCACTGGTACAGTAGTCGTAGTAGTAGTAGTAGTTAAAGAATATCTTCACGGGTCAAATCACAGGAAAGAAGTGTCATGCTGTACGCCATGAATCATGAAGTACAGACGAACATAACGCATTACAGCATGATTGGTTATTATCACATCATCCAATATATGCAATGGAATATTCACACAAGCTAATCTGAGGGGCAAAAGAAAGTATACCGAGTTTACTTTTTACGTAACTGAAAATTAAAAGAACTGTTGTTAAATCTGGTTATGTCCATTTAACCATCTCTGATTCCTGCAACAGTTCGTAAAATGTGGTTGGATAATTTTTTATGCTCGTGATGTCAATCACTGGATTATCTGATCCATACTCGATTATTTAGACCATCGTCATATAACTGAGTTCAGCGTTAAAAAAACAAAAACAAAAAAACTTTAATTGCTGTATTATAGGTTTCATTATGTTAGTCTGTCACTGAAAAGACTTGGTACGCATGCATGTCGTGGGAAGAGGGAAACGAATTAAAGGCAGCTCCCTCTGGTGGAAGATTGGCAAACAAGTTTTTTATTTCTAAAAGCAAACATCATCAGACAGACACCCCCACCCTCGTGTTGGTAGTTTATACTAATTGTGTGGGTGTATTGTTCAATCAAAATGGTTAAAAAAAATTACCACTCCTCATTATCATGTAAATAACGGAAATTGAACATGTGAAACCGACACGTGAGAATTGTCAAGACTAATGACACTTGGGCATAGTCACACGTTGCGATTAACGTGGACATTGACAAGCCCATATCAGTTTGAAGCATCGTAACTGTACGCATGACGACACGGATCTATTTCAAGAAGTGAAAGTGCACGATGTTACTACTGTTGTTATCTGTCACCTCTAGGCCAGGCCAGTGACCACCTAACCTTTGTTGGAGAATTACAATAAGGTTATTATCTAATCACTGTCCGGCGTAATGCAAGATTATACCTTCTGAACGCTCGATCATGCAAGGTATTCATGTTACAAGGTGCCCGAGCGCTCCTTGGTGTACTTGATAGAGCGTCTGCCCGGAGAGCGGAAGGCGGGGGTTCGATCCCCCGTCCCCGCAATACCTTAAGACTTTAAAAGATGGTACTTGTTGTTGCCCTGTCTGGTGCTCGGAATTAAGCGCATTAAACAAGGACTGTTCCTTTGAGGTATCCATGTCAAAGTTCGGCATGGTATATCAATGGGTTAGCACCATATAACTACCAACTATCAATTGTCCGGACGAGTACAAACAGCTTTACACGCACGCACGCACACACACACACACACACACACACACACACACACACACACACGCACACGCACACACACATGCAGAAACACATGCACGCACGCACGCGCTCCGCACACACGCGCGCAAACACAACCTTGAACGCGACGTTAAGCCCAATTTCTTCTCATCTCACTTCACCTAAAAGCGACCTTTCACTGTGTATTGTTACAATGCCCTTCTACTTAACATCACTGGTCTGTCCATTGTCCATGTCCGTTTTCTGATGATGAACCTACGCAGGGATTTCTGGTTCGAGTTGGTCCACAGCAAGCTATGACTTAATGGGTCTGGCTCGGTGACTTGGTTGGTTGTGTGTCCTCGTACACCCAAGGCGTGGATCGTTGCTCAAAATATCAACCACGGGTTGGTTATTTACAGACCGCCGTCATGTAGCTGCATGGAGTATTGCTGAGTGCGGCGTTAAACAACGTTAACAAACAAACAAAATACGAGAAAACCCGTGTTACTTTTTAATAGATATACCTTTAAAATGAAGGTTTGAAAGGTTAACAGAGGGAAATTAAACGCATTCTGCAACTTACCAATTTTGCATATTATGAAACGTCTCCTCCCTTGTGACGTCATACATCAGGATACAGCCATGTGCACCTCGGTAGTAGGATGAGGTTAGGCTGCGGTAACGCTCTTGGCCTGTGATGAAAAGATAAATGGTCTTATGGTCTCATGCTACTTAAGACGTCAGTATGTGTGTACATCTCACTCACAAATGTATGTTATACTGTATGAGACATGGTCGCTTTCCCGCGTCCTCGTTTCCTCGCGATGCGGATTTAACGTAAACATGCAAAAATGACCAAAGTGCGACAAAAGCATTAGGAAAGGATCAGTGGTGTGACAACTAGATGCATGGGGGTATCAGCGAGATATAAATGTGACGGCAAACATTTCTACCACGCGCTTCACTTTGTGTTGCAGGTTCCCCAGGGAGTTGTGAATTTAATTCAAATTGAACGCAAACATCATCATCATCATCATCACTCGAATCCCGGTCCGACTCGGTTATGTTTCTACTTTTGTCAGCACCAAACCCGTGTTCGTGGGTTTCATCAAAGTGGTAAACGTCTGACACCTGCATCACTTCGAGATTTCCTCCCAAATTAAGCAGACCCGCCGCGACAGAGCTTGAATACTGTTCAAAGCGGCGTCAAACCCAACTCACTTACAGGACCTCTTTCCATTATATTATAAGATAGTTCATTTCTGACACTCGCGATATTTATTATTGATCTAAAATCATCATCATCATCATCGTCATCGTTGTTGTTATTGCTGTTGTAAGGCGGCGTTCCCTTCCACTGCTTTGTCCTCCTGAACTAGAAGTAAAAAGGACCAATGAAACCACCTCATCTATTTCATATTAAGATGGGGCGGTCGGGTAGCCCAGTGGTTAACGCGTTCGCTCGTCACGCCGAAGACCCGGGCTCGGTTCCCGACATGAGCACTTTGTGCGAAGCTCATTACTGGTGTCCCCCGCCGTGATATTGCTGCAATATTGCTAAAAGCGGCGTACAACCCTACTCACTCACTATTGCTGTTGCTGCGGCACTCAACAATACTCTCCAGCTATATGACGTCGGCCTGTAAATACTAGCAGTAAAGCCTGTGCTCCTGTTTCTTGACAAACTTTCAAATATGTATTCAGCCTCAACTTGCTAAATATGCAGCTCACGTCGGAAGGTCTAACTTCAACATGTTACATGACCCTAGTTAAACAAAGGCCGTAATTAAAATATTTGTTATGTGTGAAACCCTTTCCGCCCATAAGCCGTACATGCAGTCGACAGACCATTAGCTGCCCATCTACAAAGCAAACACTATTTAGGTTCAAGTATTCTAAATTTAGTGATTTTGTCACATGTGAGTCGCAAAGAAACGCAGCTGTGCTTCAAATACACATGACTCATCGCTCATGATTTGTAACAGCAAGGCTGGACTCTTTCCATATTTACCCAGGTTTAGATACAGTTTACTGTGGTAAATCCTGGTTATACAACGCCGGATGAATGAACAATGCACCCCCAGAATCACATACCTCAAGGGTTGCTGCCCTAAAAATGTAAACGGTAACGAGCGTAATGTACCTCGAGGTATGGTGAGGTGACACGACCTGTCGTGTCCGTCTTTCAAAATAAAAATATTTAAGTGTCCTCCTTGTACCAGATAAGAAAACTCATCATAAAGATTCAACTTGTTTTAATGTATGCTTTATCAGGTCCGTATTGTTAGTCGAAAGGCATTTGAACGAGAATATGTATTTAATGGAAGATGGCTCTATGCTTAAGCAGATCGGTTTCGAATAATTTCAAACATTGTTAGCGATGTTGAGATATGGGGCTGTGTTTGCAGTGTGTTTCTTTGTTGCTGAGTCATGACTGACCAGGGGTAAACGGTACGTGGTATTTTCCTTCCTCTAAAGTGAGTGAATGTTGTTTTACGTCAGTCAGAAATATGCAAGCTACGAGGGGCGTTCAATAAGTTTTGCAACTTCAATATAAGACCAAGTCGCAGAATATCTTTTGCACTTTTATTTTTCAATATAATCTCCATTCACCTCAAAACACTTATTCCATCTGTCCTTCAAGCTTTGAATACCACTTTTATAGAAATCGGCAGATTGGCCCTCTAACCACGACTCTGTGGCAGCCTTTATGTCCTCGTCATCCTGGAAGCGTCTTCCACGTAGGGCAGATTTCATTTGCCGGAACAGGAAATAGTCACTGGGGGCTAAATCTGGGCTGTAGGGTGGGTGACTGAAGCCATGACCAACGACCTAACCCACTGGATGACACACAATAAGACAAGCAAGACCACTACTTCCTATGTTTACCCGTGAAGATCCGGGGTAGAATAGGTATTCAGAGCCAATGCTTGATCAAAGTTCCATCATTCAAAGCCTCGGTAAAGCTATTAAAAAGTTTTATACTAGACATGTGGAGAACATTTCCAAATTTGACGCATCAGTGACAAAAATGATATCCGATGCAATTCCATATTTTGACTTGTACCATATGTTCCCATATTTTTTTCAGGTTACCAATTGACCTGCCTTTGCATGTATTTGCGACGGGTGACATGGGTGGGGCAGGATACGCTCACCTTTTCTCGAACACCTGGTATCATTACTATTTGATAGTGATTCATAAACACATCCTCATGATATAGTCGGAATTGTACAATCGACTCTGCTTTATGAAGAGATTTCTATTGGATATTGAAAGGGTTTTATCGCTTTATTATTATTAAGAAGCCACTATGCTTGTCGTAAGAGGCGACTAGCGGGATCGGATGGTCAGGTTCGCTGAATTGGATGATGCATGTCATCGTATCCCAGTAACGTAGATCGATGCTCATGATGCCAATCACTGGATTGTCGGGTCCAGACTCGATTATACACAGACCGCCGTCATATAGCTGGAATATTGGTGAGTGCGGTGTTAAAAAAAACAAATAAACAAAACTTGTTCCTATCTAGCCTGCTCAGAATGACCCGCATGGGAGAGTTGGGTGGGGTACCATTTACGTGTTTGGGTGTCCAGCTCCTGGGATGATATCAAGACGATAGTTAGTGTCCCACCAATATCTGACCCCAACATCAATAAACCTACATGACCTTTTGGCTCCGTGTAATGCAATAGGAGCACGGATGCTCGTCCAATAGCCTTACATTAGTAGCATGTCCAACAGTGTTGGGAGTTAATACAGTAAACTACGGTTATAACGAACTCAAAGGGACTACTAATTTGAGTTCGTTATAACCGTAATTCGTTATAAGCATATATACAGCATAACTACAGCATATAGTCGGGACTAAAAAGTTAGTACGTTATATCCGTTAGTTCGTTATAAGCGTGTTCGTTATAACCGTAGTTTACTGTACAGAGACAGTTGTACATGAAACGAAGCAATATAGCCAACTCATATCACCAACAACGTCATATCATGATGAAAATGTATAGGGATATTATATATGATGTGTCCTTAACTTACAACGCATCACTGTTACATACCTAAGTTATTTAGATTTACAGGAGAAGCTTAAATTAATCACGCCGCGACATAAATGGAATATTGTTAAAAGCGGCGTTAAACCCAACTCACTCACTCACTTAAATTAATCCTAGACATTGTGCCGGCAAACCTCTTTCTGGCTTCGCCTTATCAGCATATACATGCAATGGGCTGTCAAACTCACAATGAACACGTAACGTTAACGACATAATTCATTGTTTTTAATTTATGTCGTGTGGTATGCATGGACATGGAGTGAGTGAGTGAGTGGGTGGGCCTAGGGTGGGTGGATGAGTGAGCGAGGTATGACGCCGCTTTTACCAATAGTCAAGCAATATCACACAGAACTGTCTGCACACATTTTATCCATGGGTGGAATCGAACATTGGTCTTCGGTTAAGCGAGTCAACAATCCGGTTCTTCTATAAATATTTGACCGCCTCCGTGGTCTAGTGGTAGAGCGTCCGCCCGGAGAGCGGATGGTCCCGGGTTCAGTCCCCGGCCGCGTCATACCAAGAGACGTTAAAAGATGATACTTGTTACCCTGTCTGGCGCTCGGCATTAAGTGGTTAAAACAAGGACTGGTCGGCTCGGAGTCAGTATACTGTGTCTGAGTGGGGCATTCATGTTAAACTGCGGCATGGTATCTCAGTGAGCTAGCACTAAAAATCGGCATCAGTCCGGACTAGTACAAGCAGCCACACACACACACATACACGTACATGCAAGTCGCTATATAAGTGCAATAATCTTGGACGCGACGTTAAACCCCATTTCACCTCACCTCACCTCTATTAATATTGACGGTTATCTAGCATACTAATTGACATACTCTTTTGTAGTTTAAATACCATTATTTATAGTCATGTTTACATGTTTATATATATATGGAAATAAACTATGCATTTTTTGTACCGTTATTTTTCGAATTAAAAATCAATCATAACGGAGAACTGAACGTCGAAATAGTATGTCCGACGATTACAGACCGAGCGCTGATGTGATAATGTTCTTTGGAGCCAGTCATGACAGGTCATGGCAACCTTGGGATTAGTCGGTCTGGTTGGACTTTTTGATTTAGGAAGCGAAGCAAATTCATAGCGTGATCAAGCATCAGCGAATACCCCATTAGAAAGAGAACATGTTTTGGACGGTGTGTACCACATTGTGACCTTCGTGGGGAACGTATGGAGCCATTGTTGGTTTGATTACAACGCTCGATGGTTTATATTTATTCAAAATGGATATAGATTCGTCATAAGAAAGAAAGATTTTAGGGTGAACCCTTCCACTGCTTAATCCAGTCGTTTAAGGCGTCGCGATTCGCTGTGCAGAGTTGCGTCCCTTGGGCGCGCCAGAAACCTATGATCGTGAGTTCGAATCCCGGTTCGTCCCGATTATGTTTCTAGGTTTGTCAGCACCATACCCGTGCTCGTGGGTTTCACCGAAGTGGTAAACGTCTGAGACCTGCATCACTTCGGGCTTTCCTCCCAAATTAAGCTGACACGCCGCGATATAACTGGAATACTGTTAAAAGCGGCGTTGAACCAACTCACTCACTCACTCAACTCATATCAAGGGTAGCCTAGCGGTTAAAGCGTTCGCTCGTCACGCCGAAGGTCCGGGTTCGATTCTCGTCATGGGTACAATGTGTGAAGCCCATTTCTGGTGTTCTCCGCCGTGACATTGCTTGAATATTGCTACAAGCGGCGTAAAACTATTCATTTATAATTAAAATCGCCTTTTCACGAATACCTGGTATTATCACTATTTGATAGCTATTCATAAACACATGCTTACGATATTGTCGGAATCGTACGTGGCTCTGCTTTCATGTACATACTCGGTTTTATACTCGGTATCTCGGTTGAATACTCCATTGCATATACTTGTGATGATTAGTATGATAATAAACATGTATACTTTCATGCGTAATGAGATTTCTTTTGATTATGGAAATGAATTTTGACGCTTTCATTTGTATATCTGGGTTTAATACTCCATTGCATATATGATAATAACATGCATACTGTCACGCGTAATGTTCTTCCGTAGTCGATGATATTTACCATGGCACTACTTTCCTGCATTTTAGTTGATTTATTATGTCATTGTATCCAAAAAGCAAGCAACGTTCAGAAAGGAGGAACTTCCACGGTCTCGTGCACAAACCACGACCTAGACGTTGTTGACACAATGTCATGGGATATGACAAATCGTTGCCTGACATGTTATAATTCCTGAAAAGAAATGTCTTGTGGGTGAATTGTTTGCTTCCTTTCATAAGACGGGGAAACTCTAAATGAAAAGTGTTCTGTCACAAACAAAAATTACAGTTTCTTTTTATATTTAAATGTCAAGCACATGAATGATAGTTTGCAGCAATAACGCCAACCTCATTCCATATGTATATGGACCTAGGCTGGCGACTAGTTAATATTCCGAGGTCGGGGAATGTTTTTGAAACAAATATGCCCTCAGACTTTACCAAAAGAGAACTTTTCTTCGCTGGATATGTCAAAAAATAGGGGCTGGAAACAAAAATGAAATTGTTAGGCTCCCAAACCTAGCTTCACCGCCCCAATCGCATAACATTCTACATCAATGATGACAGGAAAGCATCATGGCAGTTTAAGAACAAAGGATCGGAAAAAATAAACCTTTGTAAGAAGGTAAAGATGTCATTGTGTAAGTTTAGTCTGCTAACTGATTCATTCAATTTAATCAATATCGATACTATCACTGAAGTTTGCAATTCATTCTCAGTAGTAATATAGAAGACGTGAAGTAATCTACAACTTTTACGTCATCCTTCCTTCAAAGTTAACCGCCTCCGTGGTCTAGTGGCAGAGTGTCCGCCCGGAGAGCGGAAGGTCCGGGGTTCGATCCCCGACCGCGTCATACCTAAAGACGTTAAAAGATGGTACTTGTTGTTACCCTGTCTGGCGCTCGGCATTAATGGGCTCAAACAAGGACTGGTCGGCTCGGAGTCAGAGTACTGTGTCTGAGTGGGGTATTCATGTCAAACTGCGGCATGGTATCTCAGTGAGCTAGCACTATAAATCGGCATCAGTCCGGACTAGTACAAGCAGCCACACACACACATACACGTGCATGCAATAATCTTGAACGCGACGCTAAACCCCATTTCACCTCACCCCAATAAACGATTAATATGTTCACAAGCTTATTGATATATATTTTTGAAAGTTTTCGCTCGGTTACAGGGGACACCAGAAATGGGCTTCACACATTGTACCCATGTCGGGAATCAAACCCGGGTCTTCGGCGTGACGAGTGAACGCTTTAACCACTAGGCTACCCGACCGCCCCTACTAATATTCTAGAATGACATGGGGTTTTTTCTGTAACATCTTGACAAGTGACTATTTTCTGCATCGTTCGGTTATTGCAATGAATGTCACAACAATTAAATGAGTAACACATGCTTCACAAAGAATGAATCCCATTGTATGTGTTGAAGTCTGACAAATCATTTTTAATTGTCCCATTGTCTCATTTAAACAAAGAAGACCACGTGAAGTGCTATAAATTAATATAATGCTAATTTAGCAGAGGTGAATATAATTAAATTTTGTATAAGCTTAGCATGTTTCTTTATGATCATCGCATGATTTATTAATTGAAAAGGGAACATGTATAAATATTAAAAGATAACTGAGAATTCGCCTGTGCAGCTTACACGTCATCTACGCTGTGCTCCCCGTGAGAATTCGGGGTTCTAATAGGTCCGCCCTGGTCTAGTGGATAGAGCGTTTGCCCTGAGAGAGGAAAGGCGGTGGGTCTCTCCCCTAGCCACGTCATACCAAAAAGCGTTAAAAGACAGTACTTGATGTTACCCCGTGTGGAGCTCGGCGTTAAGCGGATATAACAAGGACTGGTAGGCCCGAAGTCAGTATCATGTGTTTGAGTGGGGTATCGATGTTAAACTGCGGCATTGTATGTCAGTGGGAAAGCTCTCTCAATGAAGTACAACAACCACACATATCTTCATGCACATCGATATATATATATATATATTATATATATATATTCAATATAGATATAAAATTAGAGATAGAGATATATACCAAAATATATATATATATATATAAATATATCGATGCATATATATATATATATTCAATATAAATATAAAATTAGAGATAGTTATATATATATATATATATATATATATATATATATATATATAACTATCATTAATTTTATATCTATATTGAATATTAAATGTGATTACTCTCTGATTCTGTTGGTACTGGCTACTTCATACCACAAATGAGCTTTTCTGTTCACATTGCACGATGACATACAAGTGGATCTCAAACTTGTGTATGTTTAAACAGGTGAGTCGTTTGACAGTCTTACCTACACGTTCCATCTCTGTATAAACTTTAACAGTGATATGAATTATTTTTTGCAATTTACGACCTACCTCCAGTGTCGGTTAGTCTTGCTAAGATGCACTTATCATTCCTGTTAACCTCAATTTCCACGTAGCCATTCCTGTTGGAACGCGCACAGCAGCATCTGACTGATCCCTCCTTTTGTTTTCCAAGATAGTTCATCAGGGTACTCTTGCCCACACCATAGTCTCCCAGGAGGATGATCTTAACGTTGTAATCGTAATGAGTCATGTTTTCGTTTGATATATACTCGCTTCTTCGGAGGGCTCGTTTCATTCACACGAATCCAACAGGTATGTTTTCGTCTTCAAGCCGACACAAAGAGAAGCCAGAATTCCACGTGTTTATCAATGGTAGGAATGAGCCGGGCTCAGGCTTATTCAAACTCGTCACCACCCATTTGGAATTTATTCCGCGTTTCTCATTAATGAGACGAGGCAGAGTGGTGCACCTTGCTTGATTCCAAGCACACACGGCGGTCTTTTGTTAAATGCTGATCATCCATCCGTTCAAGCCAGTCACAGGTTGCGTGTACAACAGCCAAGTATAGCTCTCTCACTTATAAAGGAAATTTGACCAACACAATGCCATATGTCCGTCCGCATGTGTTAATTACTTCGGCAGTACTGTCCATACAACAGCGCATGTGCATTCTCTTCGAGTAACAGTCAGATATAGTAACAGCTCAAATATAAACGACACAATCTAATTGGCTCATTGAAAAACGAATGTTACCAATCATATATCCACAGTTCTCCAGCTTGTTAATCAAGAGTAATCAGTAGCCTCAATATATAAATATGCTCAGTGTTACTGACACAGTCTCACACGTGAACAGCATCCGATGTGAATCCGTCTGTCGTTGCCAAGCTAACTTCGTCTATTGTTGATAAAGCCATGTCAAGGTGTTGTGTTACTGGAGTATGGTCCTATCACAAGACTCGGAGGCTCGATGCAATCTTTCGAATCTCATCAGAGCTATTTTAGTCACAGCCACCGCTCTTGTGGTGAGGCACTCCACTGCGACACCTAAGCTATAGCCTTTCGGCAGAAGGAGATATACCCCACGGAGGTCAGAGGTTGTGTCAGTCAAACTTTAGTACAGGTGAGATCTCAGCTGTCTCCGCACTTGAAGGACGCGAAATACACGTTGTGTTGCTACCTGGTCGGACACTGTTGGCGATAAGGTGCCTCAAGCTCTTTGCTGAGATTGCAACAATTCAAGCGTTTCACATGTTTTGAGTTTTTGAGAATCCACAGGGAATTAATTTCCCTTGTCTCAAGTATTTTCTGTGAATATGAAGAAATTCAATTCTTTCCTTGATTGTACAGTAAACTACGGTTACACCGATCTCATAGGGAACGACTAATTTTGGTTCGTTTTAACCGCCTTTCGTTAAGCGCGTATATACAGGATGTATTAGGGTTATGATTGCTTCATCTTTATGACAGGGATTTGGTCGTACACTTGTTGGCCTTATAATTGGCATTATTTCATATCCAACTTAATCCAAGTTCCTTTGTTGAGGCATTAGTGTAGCCATGCTAACATATAAGTATGACAGTTTTGTGGCACTCTTATGTGAACAAATACAAGCTGTTAATGTAGGACACCCAGACTTTGGATGGCAGCTGGCTACCAATTCTGTTTCCCCTTTCTCAGTTTGTGCATTCTACCAATGGCAATATCTCGCACTGAAAGGCACCCAACAAAGGCATTAGGTTATTTGGCCCAAGTTTTGGGAGATGCTTCAACACAAGCTATAATATTCATAAAGATGTGATACCAATTGGGCGCAGGCTGCTCCCGATATATTTTAGTCCATATTTGAATAACTGAATAAGTTGTGAGTGAGTTTAACGCCGCTTTTAACAGCATTCGAGTTATATCGTGGCGTGTCAGCTTAATTTGGGAGGAAAGCCCGAAGTGATGCAGGTTTCAGACGTTTACCACTTCGGTGAAACCCACGCGCACGGGTATGGCGACAAACCTAGAAACATAATCGGGGCGAACCGGGATTCGAACCCACAATCATAGGTTTCTGGCGTGCCCAAGGGACGCAACTCTGCACAGCGAATCGCGGACGACTGGGCCACCCGTGCCCCCGACGAAAGATGTAATTATCAACATGTGAAGTCACAGGTGATTATATGACCAACAGGATTAATAAAGAAATCATGTATATGACAAAATCGATTTATTGATGTTTTAATTTTATTTATTGATGTCGCAATTTAAATATCTAACGCATGATTTTATAAAATAGAATGTGTGACATTGAATTCTTGATATTTAATATAAACATCCTTTATTGACACCCTGACATTTTATTAATACTGTCTGTGACATCACAAATATAAATAGATCAAATATTGATAAAATTTAGTTATAATTCGCTCCCTCGGCAGATTATTGCAATATTATGCAAACAAATGAAGATTTGCCCTATGAGTATTATTTACCTTAAACTCTGAAAGAATTATTGATTTCACGAAATAATTTGTTGGTGAGGTGAAATGGGGTTTAACGTCGCGTCCAAGATTATTGCACTTATATAGCGACGGGCATGCACGTGTATGTGTTTGTGTGGCTGCTTGTACTAGTCCGGACTGATGCCGATTTATAGTGCTAGCTCACTGAGATACCATGCCGCAGTTTAACATGAATACCCCACTCAGACACAGTATACTGACCCCGAGCCGACCAGTCCTTGTTTTAGCCCATTAATGCCGAGCGCCAGACAGGGTAACAACAAGTACCATCTTTTAACGTCTTTGGGTATGACGCGGCCGGGGATCGAACCCCGGACCTTCCGCTCTCCGGGCGGACGCTCTGCCACTAAACCACCGAGGCGGTCAAATAATTTATTGATGTTATGAACTGCAGAATAAATAATAAAAGACATTCATGCTGACAGATATTTAAAAGTGAAACAAATGTAAGTATATACAGATGAGTACCCCAGCTACGTAAACATTGTTCGCAGATCAAACCTGAAGATTGGTCAGTGTGGGCCATTAACCGCGAAACTGAACTATATGTGAACCCGTTGATTGAGATGACCCTATGAACCGTACACAGATAGAGAGTCAGTGAAGCAGGAGAGAATCGCTACGTGTAACGAAACCTCAGTTGCGCGTTCTTTATGGTTGAAACAATATTTTCTTTTATGCTAAATGGATTGGTCAACAGGCGCAATGCCTATTTGAAGACCTCTACGATACAAAATAGTTAAATAAAACATCACAACACAGGAATAAATACATGTAGAAAAATGTCTAACATACTTTAAAGGCTTTCAAAGCGTTTTGTTAGGGGAACTTTGACTAACATCTAGTCTCTAAAATGAACATATCGTACAGAAAAAAAACAGTTGTTCAGTTATCTTAATAGACTAACATCTAGTCTCTGAAATGAACATATCGTACAGAAAAAAAACAGTTGTTCAGTTATCTTAATAAAAATATAATAAAAGGGAGCCCAGTTACTGATACATATTTGTATCAGGGTCTGTAAGACAGACTGAGGGGAGCTATCCATGAACAGATTCAATTAGTCTAATATTTGTTTCAGATGACAGGGTTATATTTCCAAACAATATATATCCTTTAATATCCTTACCTTTTACACAAAAGAAATAATTTTATCTAATATATGTATATCGTTTACATGGAAGTAAATAATGAAGATCATCTTTGTAATAATGACACTTAGGATCAGTAACAACGGTTGGATTTTAGTCATAATTGTGCACTTTGGGTTAAAAGCACCAAACTTGGCACACTTATACATTGAAACGTTCCGAACATTTCTGGATATGGATATGGATATGGATATATATGGATACCATCAGAGAGTTCAGCCATGTTGGCGGCCATCTTGGATTTTCTACCACCAGGGGGCTCTGCTGCGGTGGATCCATATCCAAAAATGTTTGGAATGGTTCAATGTATAAATGTGCCAAGTTTAGTGCTTTTAACCCAAAGTGCACAATTTTAGCCTTAACCGCCCCACTACTAAGCCACATTTCGAAAATAGATAGCCAAAACTGATGTGGCTCGCGGGGCAATGGTTACGGTTGCGTGATTGTGGAATGTGGCTCTCGTGGCTATGCTGTCAAAATAATGCTTTGTGATTCTAACAGGTTACCGTATTTAGCAAATACAAGTCTTGTTTTCTCATTTTTTATTCAGATCATAACAGGGATAATATATTCATCAAAACATTACATTGATGGATATCATGGCAGGTCATATTACATTGTCACATTACGGGTCATGATTGTGTAATGAATTGTTGTGTAGCACATCTAAAACAATGACAATGTTTGCACTTACATGTAAGACACAGATGTATTACGCTACTGCATGACTTGATGATGCCGAACACTACCATAATGTCATTACTGCAGATGAAGGAGGTCGCCCACGTGGTCAGCATATTCCATCTCACTCAGGTGTTACATCAGTCACGACTGCTCTTACACCGAAACTTAAAGCCATCATAGAACAAAATGACGCCTCCTCTGTCACTTTCAATGAACTTTATTTGAACTTGTGCATTTGCCATGGTTCTGACATGGAGTGAACAGGACGTCATTTAAATATGTTATGAATAACAGGATTAACTCAATGTCAATTAAGACCGCCATTGATCTCTAAAGAAACCACGCTTAGTAATCTCTACAAGCTAATTGAGGTGAGTTTACTCAATTTAAATGTGGGACACTCATTTAAAGGTATCGGTAATCTGATTAACTAATTACCGACTAGAGTAGGTGAAATGCACACAGCTGAAAATGTGGCGCATTCGGCAATAGTCATTTTTGAAATGTGGCTCAACCGGCTACACACCGTAACAACATACGATCGAACTTATGTCCATTTAGGTCGTTGCAATTGAGTCTCATTCAACAGTGGATGCTTTTTTTCTATTACCATAGCACTGAAATAAAAGATGTACATTTCTGATGATATATTTTTCGTAATTCTTTATAAACTGAATTAAAGATTCAGTACATCTTTAAGTGTCATCCAACATATTCCAATCCTGTACTCACGATGGCACGCGTTCGCTACCATTAACTTAGTTTGTAAGCCACCCCTCGTAAATATATAAACAGTACAAACAACAAAGCGAGATCCATATCACGTAGCACAGATGGGGTACCCGTATCATACAATAGGTGTCACAGGTGGGTCGGTTCTTAATTACATGCGTGCGTCCTTTGAAGAATAATTTACCTACGCTCCAGGCGACGCGACACGTGTCCAACATGGCCTGTCTAAGTGTCCTTGTCCATTTCTATAATTAACGTTTCCCATTATGTCAATAGATTCACCCATAGTTACGCAAATGGTACTGTACGTCGCCGATTGCATTTCTTTAAAGGAGTATTATCCCAAGTCGAATTGGCAGTTCCAGACAGATAATTGCACGTCGTTTAAATCCCACTTTTTATCTGTTAAAGGAGCACTATTCTCTGGCTTCTTCTCGGCTGTCTGACACTGGCCGCTAGGGCTCACCAGCTGGCCTCAGACCACAGTTATCCCCCCAAAGTTTTACCTTACCATGAACCGGAAGGAAAATAGGAGAATATAGTGCCCTGTTCAAATGGGCTGTTCAGCCTGTGCCATTTTTTTGGAGTGACTTGTGATAGCTTAAATGAAAGATAAGACATTGTAGTATGTTGCCAATTTTTTGTTAGCCACATGCTGTGAAGGTATTTATTCCAGCCTCCCATGACTGGACCCCCAAGTTGAAGGCCGCTCTGTGTGTTTCGGCTCGAAACTTCCGTTGAGCACTGTTGACAGTGGTTACTGCGAAAGGGAACCGGTCAATGCAGGCCAAAAATGTGTATTAAGTGACAAGTGGCAGGTTGGTGAGCATGCAACAGGAGAACGGCCTACGACCGATAATAATTAAGAGTGGGCTATCATGTCACTGTAGATAGCAAAGAAGGAAATTAATTGTGGTCTGAGGCCAGCTGCCGTGAGTCGATTTGCTCGCTAACACAACTGAGCGTGACAAGAGACTGGGCTGC